TTTTTTTTTGACTCTTTGTCTAACATATGTTCTGCATTTGATCCTGTGTCATTCTTAAAGCCTCGTGATTTTTTTAGTTTCGCAATAAATTTGACGAATTAACACATATTCCATTCTTCACAACGTTTCACTGATGTGATCTGTGTGAAATGTCGAATCGCGTATGTATCTATCATTTTTTTGTCCCTCGTATATGTACGACTTACTTACTTGTCGCAATCTGATAATTTATCTTTTAGGTATGATACCAGCTCCGAGCCCTAGCAAAGAGCGAAAATTACTCAAACCACACAATCCTGGCACTTCGCCAGTGAAAATCTGTGCAGCCCCGGTTAGCGTTAATTCCGGTTATGGTCTCATACTTCATATCGTTTTTTCTATTTGAAGGTGCGTTCGCCCCTGGTTACTCCGACGAAGAGCCATGGTGATCGATTTATACCCATACGTAAACCAAATAGTGAATGGACAACTCGATATAATGCCATAGTTTGTCCTGACCAAGAGGTTTGTTGTTGCGTTCATTTTGAAATGGATTGCTAAAATCTGAATGCTGGCTCGTTCTCGATGGATTTTAACGTCATTTGAATGTCTTTAGTCAACTACACCATTCAAACGTCCGAACACAAATCGTCCTCCTGCGGCTTCTACAAATATATCAAACAATAATGGAAGTCCAGGCTCTCAGTATAATCCCGCTCAGGTGCGTTGCTTGATCATAACAGATTTACGTTTCTCAAATCAATGATTGTTTATGCATAGCTATGATATACAGAGTATGAAAAAAATGTATCGAACGTTTGATCGTTTATAACTCTTTTGTCGCAGAGTCTTTCGAAAAACTTCACGTACCATTTAGTAGAGCTGGCTTCATTAGATTTACAGTGTGGCGCGATTCACCAGTGTCTCTTCATTACTGTAGGATTAGTGTAGGAACTTTTGGCATATGGCGTCACTGTGAAAAAGCTGTAGTTTCGAACAATCTCCAAAAAAAGCTAAAAACTTGTGTAAAAGGGTAATCATAGATGGAAGTTCAACAATCAACTTTGTACACGATTGCGAAGCTTTTTGAACGGTGTAACCACATTTTTTTAGTAAGATCGAAAAAGCTGCTGCTGCTGTTTACCTGGCCTAACTTTTGAGGTAGCATGATGATGAAATGCAAACTTCATATTCAAATTTAGCAACTCTGATTAGCCTAGTGCGAGAGTTTTCAAATCGTTTTGCTTCCTTTCTGAGCCAAAA